TAATTTCCCCAGCATATCTTCATATGAGACCATACTGCTCAATGATAGACCATGTACTCTTCTCTATTGCCTTTTGCTTTGCCATGTAAATTTGGTGTCTACTACAACAACTTACAGTCATTTTGAACCACAATTATCATTGAGTCACTGACCATTTTGAATAGGCGGCGACTATATGCAATTGCGAAATTTACTTAGGTGGTGTTTGCAAATGATTATTTAAAAGCAGAAGTTAGTGATTGTGATTTAAGTTAGTTTTAAGTGCTTATTTCTAAAAGTTGGGGGTGTTTGCAAATATTTCGGAAAATGAACTAAAATTGAAAAAGCAGGGTTAGGGGTGCTTTTAAACAAATAGCTTAAAGCAGATTATTTTAAGAGAAGCAAAAGCAAAAGTTGATTTCGCAAACACCTAAAAACAGATTATGAGCAAAAAAAACCGCATAATCACTTTCAAAAAGCATTTGCAAACACCACCTTAGGGCAAGACCAAATTAAATTTTATACCAAATTAAGTGTAAAAAGATTATAATGACCGTAGTAAAATACAAACAAAATTAAAACTAATTCTATCAATTACTCTTGCAAGACAAAATTAAAAAAAAAAACATGATTGAAAAATGGGAGGGAAGAAAGAAGAGGACCACTTGCAGATTCGCCGCCGCACCGTCGCCGTTGCCGATGAAGTCGACCACCGTTGTCGTTGCAGTCGACAGCCGCCACAACTCCCGCCGCCTACAACTGTTGCCGCCAAAACCCCCGCCGCGACAATCACGAAACGCATGTAAGGAATTACTTTTTGAATTAACTTTTTTTGAGAAACAAAATGTGATAAACATGATTTTGTTGTTAGAATAATGAATACAAGTTCATTTAGAACATAGTGGTGATTTTAGGGTTAGATTTCATCACCATTGTTGAAGGAGTTGTGGTTTTAAACCTATCAACCTGTACTTGTCGATTTTTTTGTAAAATTTCGACACACTGGTGTCGAATTTTTCACCGTCGTCGAAATACGCACTGACTGAAAAACAATTGCACCTCCAAACTGAATGAAATCACCATCAAATGAAAGAGTTCGACGAGAAGAATCCAACGGTAGATTGAATTCCGACCACTGGAGAGAGAGAGAGTTATGACTCCGGGAAGCAACTTCGTCGGTGGGAGACCTATGGGGGCGGAATTTGAATATGAGAGTTGAGAGAGAAAGAGAGAGACGATTGTGAATGGCTAGGGTTTAAAACTGATTTTAAAACGATATTTTAGGTACTTCAGGATGGGCAAGGGGAGTCTGTCAAATTAATTTCAAAATAAAGAAGATATGCACAAGGATGTTATTAGATTGATGGTTAGTTATATATAATTTCTAAATCTGAGGGGTCTCTAAAATAATCCCTAATAGAATTGACGACTCAAGGTCATTCAGGAAATTTGTTATAAATCATTTTATAAATTGATATTATGGTGTTGTGAAGGAACAAAAAAAAGTGAATTGCATACAACAATAGCAAGAGGATTTATTTGCACTTTTATCCACATTAATATCAGTCAAACATAGAAGTCCATTCCCTTGTATCTTGCCCAAAATGCCCATAACAATTTAATTTACATCAATATCATCAATAATGTCCTAACTTAACAAATATTGTACATTTATCTCAATTTTTAACAAATATATCACATCCATCCTTATTTTCACTTTTTCTTTTCTTTTTATCAGAAAATATTTTTTTGGTCTAAACTTCTATTTTCCGGCCACTGACCGGCGTAGACTTTTTTTTTAATATTTTCCAAAAAGAAGAAAAAAAACAGTGGATACTGCTGTTGTTGTACTCTGATTTTGCACTTTGGTTCTAAGTTCTTTATTTATCATTCAACAGAAAAACAAAACCGTCGACAAATTTTGTCAGTGCTGCCTTATTTTTGGGTAATACAAAATTAGAAACCTCTGCAGTTTGTTCTTAAAAATATAATTTTCAGTTGATGAGCAATTCTCTTATTGTCTTACAACAAAGCCGATAATTTTGTAGTATATTAGGATTTATTAAGGTTGACAAAGGAACACAATTTAGCAGGGGAAGAGCATATATATATATATATATATATATATATATATATATATATATATATATATATATATATATATATATATATATATATATATATATATATATCGAAACGTAAAAGCTGTACAAAAGAAATTCCTATCTAAGAAGCTGGTTGCTTAATGAAATAATCTCCTTGGAACAGTCTTCTGTTTCTGTTGTAGCTGCGTAAGTTTGAAGTCTGTCTAAAGCCATCACTTTAGCCCGGCAACGATGGCGACAGAAAGATTGATCACTGTAGAAGAAAGAATAATCTATTACTATCAAATTAAAAGTTATATGAAATTGATTATTTTGCTATATTATTATAATAAGTTTTCCAATGCATATATATTACGAACGACTTACTTGTACACATAAACAATCTGACTTTGATGCATCTGGTAGTCGCACAAGGCGCATCGTCGAATATTTCTTTCTCGAAATTTGGACTTGGATCCAACCTCGTTTTTCGACGTAGCAATGTTATGTTCTTCAGGCTTCTCAGTGTTGCTTAATGAAATATATGCCAAAGGGGGAGATTGTTGGCACCAAATTTCCGTTAGTGAAGATTGAAGAAATCCGCCATATGTGGAAATTAAAGATTGGCAAAGATTTGTTTTCCATGTTTATTTTGGAATTAATTAGAGTCCTATTTTTGTAATATTGTTATTAGGACTTAGATTTATTTCCATGTATTGTATTCTAGTTAGGTATCTTTTGTATTTATCTAGAATAGAAGTAGAAATCGACTAGGATTCTATTACCTAGTTAATCGATTTCTTAGGGCTCAAGTTAGGTTAAGGGTGGTGGATTTCGTGCCTATATAAGGCCCTCAACCTCATATGAGTCCGATGGAGCTTTACAAAGAAAAATCCCAGCATAAAGGCTTTGAAGGGTGCAGCCCGTGCTGCAGCCCTGTCTGCACGGCAGGTGTGGCAACAGAACAGGTTTCTTCTACCAGGCCATAAAGAAGATCGGCGTTTCGGGAGAAGTGCTTAAAAGATCTCGGGATAGGTCGATCCGCCGTTTGAAGGAAGTTCAACATTGGAGGAAGTCCAAGAGTGCGGAGGAGGAATTGCTTTGATTATCAACAAGTTCGAGTCGTGTGCAAGAACGGCGTATCACATAAAGAGGGAGTCTTTAGTGTTTTATTAAGTCCTATTAATGTACACATAAATCTGAACTAGTTTTGCAAGTCCTCGTGGATGTAGGGTACGTTTGTATCCGAACCACATTAAATTCTTGTGTTTTTTATTCTGCTTTTAGTAGGTTAATTACTGTGATAACACAAGAATACTGTTGCCACTCCTAATGTCGTAACATGTAGTCTGTCTCAACAGAAGAGTGGACTTTGATAGGCATTTAAATTCAACAGTTTGCATAAGCTTGAACTCTGTCTAAAGACATCACTTTAGCTCGGCATCGATGGCAACAAAAACATTGATCGCTGAAGAAAGAAAAAAAAACACGAGAAATATAAGCTTGATTCGGATCAAAGTACAATTTATATAATTAACATGTGCTATTATTATTATACAGTTTTACAATGCATGTATTACGAACGACTTACTTGTACATATAAACAGTCTGACTTTCGTGTATTTGGTAGTTGCACGAGGCACAATTTAGAACAAAACTTTCGCCAAATTTGAACTGTGATCCATCTTCGTTTTCTTCAAATTTGGAATTCGATCCATGTTCGTTTTCTGATCCAAATTTAGAATTCGATTCTTCTTCGTTCCTCGATGAAACAATATGTTCGGACTTCATGCTCGGAGAATGAAAGACTAAAATTTCTCTACATATACAGGAAATAAATAAACTATCTTGGTGTGTGTGTGTATATATATAGTGTCTGTAAGTTTGAATATAAGGGAAATTTAGAAAAGCAAGTTTCTAAATCAATTATTTTTCCTTTTTTGTAATTAAGAAAAATATTTTTATTTAGTATTTGGAAAATATGGCTGCATATTCCTTTTTATTAGATATAAAAATGGAAGGTTTTACGAAGGGCTTATCTAATTGGTATTTTTGGCAAGAGAATTTTATTTTTTAGGATTTGATTTCCATGTATAGCAAGTGTACGAGGATTATTAATAAGGGGCTATATGCCAAACACCCTTCATTGGGATTTTAATTCTTAATAAATCATTTATTTATAAATGATATTTGAGATAAATCTAATGAGCCTCAAAAACCATATATGTCCCCACTAATTATTAATTAGTATAATTATTTATATTAAAAAAAATTATACCCATAATCTACACTCAAATCTTCTCCAAAAATTATTCTCCTCTTCACGCCAATTCAGTTTTTTTTTTCTTTTTTGGTTTGTGTAATGGTTTTTTTTTTTCGATTTAAAAGAAAATTTTGGGCGGCGGTGGAGGAAGGTAGAGTTACTCGGAGCGTGGGGTATATGGTGGTGGTGGTGGTGGAAGGGGACGGTAAGGTGAGAGGCTGTGATTTTTATTTTTTATTTTCGAGTAAGAGGCGGTGATTATTGTACGCAATCAAATTAGGGTTGAATAAATAATTAAAGGGTATAATGGTGAAACTTAATTTTTTTTTAATTAATAAAAGACGTTTTGGATTTATCTAAATTCTTTTTTAACTAATGTAACTGGACTTGTCTAATGGGGACTTTTGTGAAATAATCCCTATTAATAAACCTGACCGGGTTCATAACGTTCTTAACGTTGGGCTTTATATTCCGATTTTTCTTTTTATATAAAAGAAGAAGAAAAATACAGTTGGGCTTGAAACAAATATTACTTTTTGAGAAATTAGAGTTGTTTGAAGGGGACATTTTGATATATATATATATATATATATATATATACTAGTAATGGTGCGCCGCGCAAGGTGCGGCGTTGGTGCCCATTTTTTCGTGGATGCACGAACCAAAACCCAATATCAGATATGATTGCACTTATATAATACCAAAAAAGATCATACATAGTATGTTGGCAGAATCAAGCCCGTAACTCAACAATGTATTTGTTTGTCTACTAATTTTTCACATGCATCGGAATATTAAACTTACATCTGCTTGTACGATTACTACATTTTTCAATCAATCGAAGAACATGAGCCTTTGACGGATTACAGCATTTTCCTCATTTGAATAATATATCCTGCTGTTCCAAAAGTTCTGCCACCCTAATTACCTGTATATAGGCTCAAAAGGAAAAAATAGTTTAAAGTATATGATCATAGATGAAATTCCATTACTATATGTGTAACTAAAAAAGAAATTAAGACCTAAAAAAGAATTAACTCACCTCCCAAGTCTGTTCTTATCCAATTCCTTAAATCAGAAGTTCAGTACACATGTAGCTCCCTTTTTTTCAGTCGCCTGAGAACCAATGATTCGTGCAGGTGCTTCCACTGTGTCAGAAGCTTTAAGCTCGTTGAACTGCCAAAAACGAAAAAATCATCAGATTATCTTGAAGCACATATTTAATAAGAGAATTGAGTACGAAAATGCAAATTATATTTTACCAAATGTAAAATGATGGTGTAAGGATATACAGATATGCACAACTATATTCCTAAAGAAGATTTACAAAGAAACATAACAACGACATACTTGGGTGTCGAAGCAGAAACTTTATAATCAATTGATGTGCAAATATTTAGCTTCAATAACAACTCTATTATTACCTTACGTTCTTGTTCCAGGTCAACACTCTTGCCATCATGCGAGGAAGTACTCTTCGTAAAAAAAATCATAGTCTCTTGTGCTATTATCAGCTAGCAACTGAGCTAATCTCTATCACGAGAGAATTGAGTAAATTCGAAAAAACAAATTAACTACTTGTTTAAAGAAAAAAAAGGGGGGAGCAGCTTAAATAGATAAAACCATTTGAATGCAAGAGTTTTGTACTCTTAGGATTTGAAATCGGTTTCTTCTCTGTTCAACAACCTCAAAGACATGCATTGCCCTTCTAATATATTTTTTGGGGGGAGGGGGGGAAGAGAAAAAAAAGCATAAAATTCCTATCGACTTTTTCATAAGTAGAAATTCCGGCCCCCAATATTATTGGAAAACCTCGAGACAACTATTTTATGCCATACTATATATGCTGAAACTTGGTAATAACATTTGTCATTATCAAGGTTTAATTACGTGTAATAGACCTGATAAGGTTGCTTTTATCGCAACCTGAGATCTCGATTATGCTTAAAGGGCATCAATTTTCGCCTCATGCATCTACGAATGCAGAATCTTTTTGATATGACAGAAGGCATCACCCAACCATCCTGTGGTCACGTCGACATGAAGAATATTGTGCAGTTCGCTTCCAAGTTCTGCAAGCAGGGCCCAATCTCCGTAATGGCTAGAAGTGGCTGTAAATGCAGAGTGGCAAGTGTTTGGATAGTAAAACACGAATGAAATTCATTATACCAAAAAACTTATTGGAAATTTTATCGTCGTTAATTGAAGACAACACCCTTAGAAGAGGCTTCCAAAAACGAAAATGAACAAACTTTTATTGAAATTAAATAAATATGAGAAGGCAAACATTAAGTAATAATTGTGGAGGAGGTGCAACTTTAAGTTGGGGAAGGTGAAATTAGAACTACAAAAACAGAAGCTAAATACCGTCCTTGCATATTCAACAACATTGGCGCACAAAAGTCAGATGTCGAGTTGAAGCATTTGTTTTGGTCCCTCAAACACTGTAAAACAGATTCCAGCCACAAAATCTCGCCGAATCGAGAAGGAAGATTAACAACTTCTATTAAATTTTCTCAAAATAAAATATAAAAAATAAAAAAGGGCCAAAATGCTGAAATATGCCACATATTTTAGGGCAGCTAAAAAAAATGACACTCGGTCAGAACTAAAATAACAGAAACTTGTTTCGGGCCTATCGGAAAAGGAAAAAAAAAAAACATAATTCTCATCAACTCTGAGATGATTTGCAGAACTCTCTTCAAGACATTAAACACACTGTTATAAAGAGAGGACTTGTTGTCATGGTCTAGATTTCAGTTATGCTGTATTGAATCTATATAAGTCAAAGTTGTAACAATAAAGTCAACTATTTCTTCAACGCCACACAATTTTTTTTTCAGAGAATTAATTGCCACAAATTTGATTAAACACTTGTATTGGTAAAGTTTATACCTCAACTGCAAATCCAGCTTCCACCATTGATGAATCCCATGAGCTTCCTTGAAATTCTGAGAGGTGCTGCAATTAATACTCAAATATGCGGACGGAATCAAATGTGCGGCCTCGGAATCTTTTCCCCTAACGGACGAGACGATGCTCCCGATCGAATGCCTCGTTGCAAGTTTCCCGATTTTCCCAGCCCCGATCGACTCCATTTTCTCCATGTGCTCGAAATACCCAATATATTCCAACGAGACCGCGTCCGATTCACTCACAAACAGGTAGGGTATCCACGCCGCGAACGGGTCGATTTCCTGACCTTTGGGCCGTGTATGGCCCGAATGGGCCGCCATCGCCAGACCGGCGGTGATCACAGTACCCGCCAATCTCAGCCCTAACTTCACCTTCTCGTTCTTAATTTTCTCGATTGGGGGAGCGGTGAAGGGTGGGTTGAACAGGTAGGTCTCGACTCTCGAGGTGGAATCCGGTGGTCTTCGCCACGCGCCGCCCGATCAGCAGCACGAACGACGCGAACGACCGAGTGTCCGGCGAGCCAGACGTTTCCGGGGGCGGTGGAGTTGATGACGGCGGTCGCGGACTCCATCGCGATCTGGAAGCGGCGGCTCTCCTGGAGGTTGTTGATCATGAGGTTGAGATTCAGCTTCAGATCTTCGCCCCGGCTGTTTGACTTGTTGACCGTTCCTCGACGTACTGTGGCGGCCGTTGGCCGACGTAGTTCTGATAGGGGTAGGGGAAAACGAACTCGAAAATGGCGCCGAAAAACTCCCATGTAATTGGTAATGGGACAGGCCGGTGAATGGGGAAAAAAAAAGGGAAAAGAAATTAATAAAGCGGGGCCACACGGAGGAATTTTGGAATCGAGCTGCTTCCAAAATTAAACAAAAAGAAAACAACGATGACCTAGGATTGGAGGAGAAAATAAGGACGGCCTCGTTTCAATATAAAATGGGCTAAAAAAAAGAAGAAAGAAAATAGAAAAGGGGGAAAATGTGGGCCCCCACCTCCCAAGACATATATATATAATGAAGACTGAATATAATGATCACATTAAAATAGAACATTGTACATTGCGAGACGGACTATGAAATAAGAGATAATATTGATATGTAAAAAGGTAAATGATAAAAAATTATATTTATTAGGGTAAATTACAACCACCCTGAGGTATGGTCAATTTACGAAAAAAACCCTCTTGTTTGTATAATTACATCTACCCCCTTCAACTATGATTTTTTCTTACACATCCACCATTATGGTGTCAAATTCAACATAATCATCTAGATTTTGTGGAATGCGCTCTAGCTTGAATCTGTTTTGTGTAAAAATACAGTTTGTGATACACCACAATCTGATATATACAAACCAAAAAACACATATGATGATCATTTTGCTTCAAAGTATAGAGTTCGAATGGGATAAAATGGGTACAACAGTGATAATATTCCATATAATCTCGAAGATTCCACTAAGTTTGAGAAGTTCAGGGGGTGGTTGTAATTATGCAAACAAGAGGGGGGTTTTCGTAATTTGACCATACCTCAGGTGGCTGGTTGTAATTTACCCTAAGATTTTTTGCTCGGTATTGTGAATTTTCGTAAATGAGTCAACGCGATTACAACTCAGGAGGAGTCAGAGCATGCAACATAGGTATGAATGAATTGAATCGTAAGATTTGAATCGTAAATCATAAGATTTTAAGCTTGGTTTGCGAATTTTCGTAAATGAGTTGCACGCGATTATAGCCGAGGAGGAGTCGAAGCATGGTGCGTTGGTGGCGGATATTTCGGATATTGCAAGAGAGATCCATTTTGGGGTCAAATTTGCAATTTGGGTAGAGCGGCTAGGAAAATGGAGTAAGTATAGGGGTGATTCTGCAATTTTCAGAACTATTTCAGCCAAGAGGTTGGATTTCCAAAAATTACAAATTGACCCCCACTTCGGGGGCATTTCCAGTTAAGGCCAAAAATTAAAAATGGTATATAATATATGGACCAAAACTGTAATTAAGTAATTAACCCATTCAATTGATTTTTTGCCCTTTCAATTTGTATCTTATTCATCTGATTTTTTTAATTTTTAATTTTCGATTTTTACAGATAGCGGTTCAATCGAGTTCAACCGTGCATCAAATTCCTCGGCTTAAAAAAATACAAATAAAATTATTTTGACAATTAAGCTTTTTGTATAATTTTTCTGATCTAATTAGGATGTCAATTAATTGAACATTATTATCTCGACAGATAAATTCCCTAAAACAAAATAAAGGCAGGAGCATATAACATGATTTTAATTATACTGCATGCTGTAAAAGTTGGAAAAAATTGATAGATACATGTAACAAAAGATCGATAAAATCGATATGTATATATATACATCTTGTAAAATTTTCCTACACGAAAAGCGAAATTAATTCGGAAAAAAAGGCTATGGCTATGATATAATCTCTCCTTGTTCGATATCAATATCAAACATAGGTAGTACGGCATCGACTCGATCTGGATGACGTTCGATGTAATCAAAATCATCGGGCTTGATAAACAATCCAAGCGTCTTCGAAGGGGCAACGCCGCCCCATCGACGCCCACAACCCCACATCTCCAGCTGGTTCATGACATCTAGGTTCTGATCGTTGAACTCAACGGTTTTCTTGATATTATCACGAGCGACTCTCTCTCTCTCCCGCCTCTTGTTCAAATCCGCAATCCTGATTCTTTCTTGTTTAAGTTTATTCTCTTCCATCTGCTTTTGCAGCACGACGCCGCCGTCGGACTTCCCGAGCAAGTGGTGTTTCGCTTTGAATATCGTATCAGCGAATCGACTTTTCAGCATCAAAGCCCTCGTAGAAGAAGCCTTCTCCTCCACGTCATCTTCGGCTGCGGCGGTCGATATTATTTCCTGGCGCTTTGCCGGGATAATCATCACCGGATCTTTTTCTTCTTCTTCTTCTTCTTTTGATACTCGTCTGACATGGGCCGCCGTATTATTACGAATATCATCACACGGTGTTCGTCGTAACGTAGAAGTCGTCGAAAATTTGAACTTGGAATTGTTCTTGATTATGGTAGAAATTCGTTGGAGCTTTGATCTTTTCGAACTTGGTTTATTACTACATCTTGCAATCGCCATCTTCTTCATCGTGATAAATTAAAATTCAAGAAAAAAGAAATTATTTTAATAGAAAAGGTGACGAAGAATTTATAATGTACGCACAGGTTTTTTTGATCTAGGTTTTTATAAGGAATATTTTCCTTTATAAACTCTGATTGGTTACCAAACAGAGTTTCAAATCTATGTAACTTTCCTTTTGTAATTTCTGTGTCCTTTTGTAAACTCTGTATCTATGTAACTTTCCTTTTCTAAACTATGTTTGTAATTAAGGACATGTTTAAGGATTATTATATTAATATATATTATTTTCTTCATGATTGTCCGAACCGGACCGGACCGGACGGTCCAACCGGTTCGACCGCGACCCGGTAACATTCCGGGCGGTTGGATTCCGAAAACCAAGAAAAGCAAGAAAACCGGGCTAAACAGGCGAAAACCCGGTTTGACCGGCCAAAACCCGGAACCCGGAAACCGGTTTTTGTTCAAACGGCGTGTGGTGGAGAGATCTTGGCGGTGAACGCCGTTTGGTGGGCGGATCTGGGCGGCGGCGGTTGGCCGGTATAGGTTGTGGGAGGCCGGAGTGGAGAGGGAATAAAATGAGAAAAAGAGAAGGATATGCAGATTCAAAGAGAGTGAGAGATTAAGAGGAAGGAGAGAGAGAGAGAGAGAGAGAGAGAGAGAGAGAGAGAGGGGCTGCCTGAGTGGAAGTCGAAGATGAAGGTGGAGACTAGAGAGAGAGAGGTGTTGGGGGAGGAGGAAGAAAGTCATGGTTTAGGAAAAGAAAAAGAAAATAAAATTGGGGAAAATGAGAAATTAATAACACATAGTATTTTTTAAGTATAAAATTAATAAAACTAATAAAATAATTAATAATTAAAAAACTAGGGTTGACCCCGGTTGAACTGGTCAAATTACGAAAAAACCCATCTTGTTTGGATAATTATATGGGCAAATTACCAAAACCCCCCTAGGTAAGTCCGAATAACGGAAATTCCCTCCACGTTCTCGTAATTACGAAAACCCCCCTGAGGTATGCATACATCTTACAAATCGCTCTAACGGTGTTAAACTCGATAGAATCTTTTTGATTCTCCCGAATATTCATCCGATAATACCAATTTTGCCCTTGTACACGAAATTACCCTTAGGAGGGTAATTGTAAGCATTTTATTTAATGAGGGGGGGTCATAAATATATACTCTTCATGAAATATATAAGTGTCTGCAAAACACTTATTTTTCTGCAAAATTAAATATTTTACAATTCGAGAAATACAACCATGCATCATTCAAGCTAAAAGAATAAATCCGTATGAATACTCCTCTGGATAAATAAAATCAATTAAAATATATAAATAAAAAAAATAAAAAAATTATAATATCAAATTATCAATACAAATTACAAAGTAATAAATAAATGGGTAAATTACAAACACCCCCTGAGGTATGGTCAAATTACAAAAACACCCCTCTTGTTTGGATAATTACAACCACCCCCCAACTCCTCAAATTTAGTGGAATCTTCGAGATTATATGGAATATTATCACTTTTGTACCCGTTTTATGCCATTCAAACTCTACATTATGAAGCAAGATGATCATAATATGTGATTTTTAGCTTGTATATATCAGTTTGTGGTGCATCAGAAACTGTATTTTTTACACAAAACGAGTACAAACTAGAGCGCATTTCACGGAATCTAGATGACTATGTTGAATTTGGCACCATAAAGGTGGAGGTCAAAGAAAAAATCATAGTTGAGGGGTAGATGTAATTATCCAAACAAGAGGGGGATTTTTGTAATTTGACCATACCTCAGGGGGGTTTTTGTAATTTACCCAATATATAAATAAAATCCAATTCCTCTCACGCAAGACCACAATCAGACGACACATTCGAGATTGACTTCAAGCTTCAAAGCCTCACCGGGATCTTGCCTGCCGCCGAGAACTCGCCCACACACCGACAAAACTTGCCTCGCCGTCGGAAAATAAGTCCTCCATCGCCGCCGTCTAAGATGTCCTCTATTGCCGTCGAAAAAACGTCCTCCATCGCCGCTCACAAATGTCGATTTTTAATTCGATACACAAGTGTCGATTCTTTTCAAAAATTTCGACATAACAGGTAGGTGTCGAATTTAAGAGGAAAATTTGACGGTCGATGTTAGAGGGAGAACTAATCCGCCGATGCCACTGAATTACTTCGGCAATTGCTTGGGTGGCGGAATAGCGAAAATCAAGCACAAAACACTTGTCGGGGAAGAAGGGTTTGTAATTGCTGCGGAGGCTATAGCTTTGGATATTAAAAACAGGGTGAATAACAAAGACGAGGTTTTGAAAGGTGTCGAGAATTGGATGTCCGATAGTGAGAAATTTGTAGGGATGAGGACAGTTGGGGTTTCCGGTTCGCCGAAGTTCGACTTGTGCGATGCGGAATTCGGATTGGGAAGGGCGAGAAAGCTTGAAGTCGTGTCGATTGATGGAGAGAAGTATTCGATTTCGTTGTGCAAGTCGAATGATTCCGAAGGAGGACTGGAGATTGGGTCGTCTCTTCCGAAGGACGAAGGGAAGAAGAAGACTCAATATATTTTTCTCCTTTTTTGTTTTTTGTTTTTTTTGTTTTTATTTCTTTTTTTGTTTTTATTTCTTTTTTTTGTTTTTTAAAGATTAATTTATATTTAATATACAACATGTAAGTGGGGGTTTTCGTTTATATTTAATATACAATATCGGTTTAATACTCCTCTGGATAAATAAAATCAATTAAAATATATAAATAAAAAAAATTCGGTCAACCGTTAGTCAATGGGGGTTTTCGTAATTACGAGAACGCGGGGGGAATTTTCGTTATTTAGGCTTACCTCAGGGGGGTTTTGGTAATTTGCCCTTTTATTTTCACATATTTAACAGAAGGATATAATAGACATTTCACGTTTTCGGTTAAAAAAATTCGGTCAACCATTAGTCAAGGGGAGTTTTCGTAATTACGAGAACGTGGGGGGATTTTCGTTATTTAGGCTTACCTCAGGGGGGTTTTGGTTATTTGCCCTTTTATTTTCACATATTTAACAGAAGGATATAATAGACATTTCACGTTTTCGGTTAAAAAAATTCGATCAACCGTTAGTCAAGGGGAGTTTTCGTAATTACGAGAACGTGGGGGGATTTTCGTTATTTAGGCTTACCTCAGGGGGGTTTTGGTAATTTGCCCTTTATATATAGACCAATTTGGGAGCCGATTAAGTCACGTGTGGAGTACGTGAGCCTTCTAAAATAACACATTCAACCCTTTTTTTACTTCTTTTTTTGATTCAGCCTCAATTTTACTTTAATCTTACAATTTCATCCCAAAAATTATAAAATCCCATAAATGAAACGCTATGGTGCACGGAAACTTCGGTAAACGCGTTTTCGCATTTCGGAAATCGAAACACCATGACACTTGTCGGAAACGTTTCGGGGTCATTTCCGTAAATATTTAAAAGTTTTGAGGATGTTCCTGGTAATAATGGAAAAAATAGAAATGTGTTTCCACCAAATGAACTGTTCCGCCTAAACTTCAGGTAATGGAATCGAGCTCAACAAATGATCACCTACCATTACTCTTCGTCGAGAAAGATTTACTGCTCAAAATTGTCGGGACTTGCGCCTTTTTTTTCCAATGAATATATAACTTACTGTTGCATTCTGCCAAAATCAAATAATTAGCAACTAACTAAAAAACCTTAGTCGACTAAGCAAATAACTCAATCGACTAACTAAAAAAAACTGTCTATTAACTAAAATATTAGGATGAACATCAAACAAGACAAGACGAGAAGGAAGTTGAGTCTAGTATTGCACACGGAAGTTGAAGATGAGAATTAGTTGAACAACATACGAAACACGAGAACTCAAAACCAAAACTTTCACCGTCTAACTATAACTCAATATGCAAGCTTCGTATTAACACAATACGACACACATGCACTTTTTTAATAACTAGAATTCCTTGTCATGTAAAAAATGAGAACAACTTATCAGTTATACTTACCAAACAATGCAAATCTGATATTATGCAATAAATAAATATATAGGATGACTTGCTTAGTATTTAATCTGAATTTTCTAGGAATAACGAAAATGTTGATTAAAATAAAGATTTTAATAACAGAAATTTCTTATGTTCTCGCTGATTAAGTACATCATCCTGATAATGGTGCTTAACCGTCTTGAGACTGGCAATATTTATAAAAAATAACGTACCTATGATTACAACAACTCCAACACCAAAAAGGGTAGACAGTACTGCATGCGTAAATATCAAAGTACAATTGTACATAAAATTGATGTCAAAAGCAAATTTCAGAAAGAAAAAAAAAATACAAAACAAACGTAGTGAAACTCCATAATAGAGGATCAATCGATCATGAAGCAATTTCTATAAGGAAAGAACAAATGCTTTGAAAAGATCATAAGACGATCGATGATAATTTTGGCAATTCTAATTACTGGCTATAAAGTGCTTCATCTTGAGTCAATATGACCATCTCACCTTGGATGCTTTGCAAGATGTATGCAGCTACATATCGTTCACATAAGAGGTTTCGGAATCAAACTTAAATACTGCACATAAATGGAATCAAATTTCCAATAAGCATGGAATGGACAAATTAAAGAAAAAAAAAAACAGTGAATAAATTTCAGCACAAGTATGGAATCAATTAAACAACAGTGGACATATCTATTATTTTTCACCCAATCCCTCAATCACAATAAAAAATTTATCATGCAGAAAAAATAGACAGGCTGCAAAAGTGCAATACATTTATAGGCGAATTACCGCTTACCGAAAAACCAAAACAATTTCCTCTAATTATATGCTTTAACAGAGAGCAACATAAGGATCGTCAAAAAACTCTTGTTTTGATAATACCTGCAACCAGTGGCGGATCCAGGATTTTTGCCAAGGGGGTTCGAAATTGTAGAATAAAAAATTAAAATATCACTTTATAAAAATAGTGGACCAAAAATTTATAATTTATAAATTTTAGGTGAATTGTGGAAATATTTAAAGACCAAAAAGTTGAAAAATGTTAAGATTTCAAAAAAATTCCATTATTGTGAGGGTGGGTTTCAAACCCATGACCTGTTAATAGAAAAAGACATATCTTTACCACTTCAACCAACTACCTTTTCTGTTATTTTATGTATAATAGTAAAATTTACTGAAAATCAAGGGTGTGCAACTGCACACCCTAGACCATGGCTACATCCGCCACTGCCTGCAACACACATGCACTTGTTTTGATAATTCCAACAGTTTCATCCAAACGCAACTTACATTATCCCAATGCACGTGTTATCAACCATATATGTCTATTGTCTACTTATAGCTGTTTTGTAGGAGAATGTATACATATACATACAATTGAGTAGATCTTTGGTAATAAAAAATATTTAAAAAAAAATTAATCGAACTTATCGGCCCGTTAGACCTCAAATTCCAACCCTTTTGATACAAATTCATCCTCAGGTAGAAATAAAAATTGAATGACTAACCTTTTCAAGAATCAATATTCTGGTGTTCCCATCAGTACAATGAAGAACGAACAATAACGTATAATCGACGTCCATGACCGCCATATTTGTCGTCCCACTCCTCTTTTAAACTGTTTGCCCAATTCACAACCATAGGGTTGCAGTCAACTAAATAAATATTTTCAAGAGATGTACCGAATGTGAGAGGGATCTCTTTTAACTTGTAGCAATGTTCGATGCCAAGAACCTTAATAGCAGGGAAGCAGAAATTTGTTGTCACAAACTTCCAGTGCACAAGATCGGTGTCTTCAATTTGAAAATGTGAAAGCTTTTGGAATTCGTGGTCGTGAACCTCCCACTTCGGGCCTCGAAAGGCATAGCATTGCAATACCAGGTCTGTAAGATTTGGCAATGAAGAAATCTTTCTCATTTCTTCCCACGGATATCCTAAGCCGCTCAAGGTTAACTTTGTAAGACTTGATGGCAAGTCTGAAAGAGGACCAAATCGGGTTAACTTTGTAAGACTTGTAGTTGATGCAGATTGTAAATGTGATCAAAGCAACTGAAGGGCTTAGAAGCATCAGGAACTAGTTCGATTTGGATTGTTAACCCCTTCAGATTAGGGATTTTTTCAAGCACATCTTTGGTACAACTTTGAGGACCGACACCAGTTAGAGTTGTGAGGTTTGATAGGAGGGATCCTTCACAAGGATGTGGTAGGTCTCTTCCCCGGATCTCGAGACACTTCAATTCTTTCATATTCCATATCTCAATAGGCAGATAATATGGATTCCCAACAGATTTTACGATCCGGTACTGATGATGAACAATCAAGTACTGAAGGTTGAATAGTTTGGAAATGAAAGTAGGGAGGTTTCCATCGTAAGTGAGGGCGAGGTATCTTAGCTGCAATAGTTTCAACACTTCCATTGGGAACTCATAGGATTTAATAGAAAGAGCTTCCAATACCCTGAGCAACCTTAATTGTTCCAAACAAAATGGTACAGGATATTGATGATATGGACCGGTACATAGGAGAGAGCGTACCGTTGAAGCAGATGCAATTGAATCGTGCGCATCTTCAATGGCAAGTAGAACATTATTTCGGATGCACAATCGGCGCAGCTGGTAGTTGATACCTTCTTTTGGTAGAGCATCGGCAAGACAATTGAATGCATAGAAAAACTTATTCTTGGCAGCTTCTTTGTTACACAGGTACCAAAATGATGAATGAAGGTGATATATAAACTTTTCTTCATTGTAGATGATAACATTATTTGAAAGAAACGCTCCTACATAAGCAAACGTATACTCAGTTGAAGTCATGGTTGATTTTCGGTTAAGAAATCCTTCAGCACTCCACAAGTCGATCAGTTGGCGCCTCCACGCCGTATAATCTTGTGGGAAAGCTCCTAAGTAGAGAAAGCATGCTTTCAAATGTTGAGGTAAATAGTCATAGCTTGGATATAGTACATTGGACATTTGATCATATGCATCCTTGTAAACCGAATTTTGTTTATCATTAGCTACCTGGTACCAGTACACCGAAGTCTTGTCAGTTTTGGAAAGGATGTGGGCAACTGTAACTATTTTAAGTGGAAGACCTTCACAATTCTCCGCAATCTTCTTTCCAGATTTCTCGAGTTCACGAGGGCAAGGCATTGCATCAAACACCTTGTGACGAAGAAGTTCCCAACTTTCTTTCTTATCAAGGAAGGGTAGTCTGTGAGAATTCAAAGGGTGGACACATTTACTTACTTCTGATAGCCTAGTAGTCAGTAATGCTACACTTCCATTTTTGTCGTCTGGAAATACGTTGGCGAACTCATAACAGAGATCCGTGTACCATACATCATCCAACACGATCAAGTATCTCAATTCACTTAAACTTTCGCACACCTTCCATTTCAGCTCATGTAATAATTCTTCTCCTTTCGTAAGCCATATTATTTCATCAATGTCAGCATTATTCAATTGTGTGAGAATTTCCACCAAGATGTCCGCTAATCGATATTTAGGGCCTATTGTCACGAACACAAGCCTGCTATAATGACTCACAATGAACGGATCTTGAAATAGTTTCTTGGCAATAGTAGTCTTACCAATGCCAGCCATCCCATCGAGCGACATAACTATCAATTCAGAGTGTGGGGAAATAAGCCAATCTGTTAATCTCATAAATAGATCGGACAATCCAACCATGTTAGACTCATTTCCACCAGAATCAGTTATTGTCGGGACAACATCATCATCATCTTCTTCTTCTTCTTCTTATTCGGGAGAAGGGTTGCGTAACTCATGAATGTAGGCACTCTTCATAATGTTCACCATTTGGATAAAGGAATCGACATCTTGCTTTATTTCCTCCACATCTACTGAGTATACCATTAATGGTGGATGATCACTCACATCTTCTTCGGATTGTGTTGATTGGAAATGATTTAAGAGATGAGATTCTATTACATCTTCAAATCTGTATACTGCATCTATCATTTCCGCCTCCAAAATTTTTACCATCTTCATGTTAATGGTGCTCCTCCATTTGTCGAATTCTCCCAGATCTCCTTTTAAGGGAAGAATATTCTCATACAGATGTTTTAGGATTTGTGGGGATGAATTTTGAACAATCGGAATATGTGATGAATTCAAAAGGCGCTCAATTGTCAGCTCAAGAGAAGAAACAATACCATAAGCCATCTTTCAACTCTCTCTCTCTTTGACAAATCACAGTCAGCATCATGGTTCGCCGGAACGGTCAGAACGGCCGTTCCGGAACGGGAACGGTGCCTCCGTTCCGGAATCCGTAACCAGAACGGTGTATCTGCCGTGGCTCATCGGAACGCCGAGAAATCGGTGGGATGGCCGAGACGGAGCCACGGAACGGCCTCGACGCGGCCGGAACGGCACCGAAACGGCCGGAACGATGCCGGAACAGAAAAAAAGAATTTGAAAAAAAAAAAAACAAATTTGAGAGAGTAAATACACCTAAGAGGGGGGTGAATTAGGTTTATAATAAACTTTTTTGATTTTAATTAAACTGACTTTAAGTACTTAATAGAATAATGAGTTGTTCTTTGGAAAATATTGTTATAGATGATTTAGAAAATGTAGCCAATTTATACGTTAAGTGTGAGGAGAAAGTATAGCGAGAAAATTGTGTGAGATACGGAAATTGAAAGTAATGCATAAAGTAAAGAACACCGTGATTATAGTGGTTCGGAGAGAATCTCCTAATCCACTCTTCCAAGCCTTTGAACCTTTATTCTCGTGCCTCCAAAATCCTTAGATCCTCCACACTAACTAGTGTGCTTACAAGTCTCTAACAACTTTCGCACAAGTATCGTGCTTACAAGAGCTTCACTCTTTCGCACTTATCAATAAGTGCTTACAAGACTTTAATAGCTTTTGCACTTATCAATGAACCTCACAATATGAATTGAATGCGCTAACTAATAGCTAAAAAAATCCTCACTCAAAATATGGACTCAAATGAACAACGAGAGGTAGGACTTGAAATTTTCAACAAGCAACTCTTTTCAGTTCTTTTTCGAATTTCACTTCCGTACTTTACTTGAATGACTTCGATCACTATTTATAGGTGAGCTCCTCTATCTTCCAAAGGAAAAACATCAATCTTGATTTTCTTGATTGACTTGATTGAGGTTATGATTGATTAGAATCAATTAGATCAGCTCAAATAGGAAATCATTTGAATTTTGAAATCAAGAACAAAACTTTCTTCAACATAAATAAATTTCAGCAAAACAACTTCCGGCAGAAGTGAGCATCTTCCGGACAGACAACAATTATTATAATCTTTGATTGGTTGATTGCAAAGTGATTGAAGGGTTTCCAAAATAAAGAGCTAGAGTCTCAATCAGCCAAACTTCAATTCAAAGCAGGTTTGATTTTTGAATAAAGGAATTTCTTCCAAAGATAGAATATAAAAGAAATCTTTTGCTTCCAAATATATTTCCAGCAAATAAAGAGAGTGGGATTTGGCTGATCCTTTCAAACATAATTTTCAAAAGAGAATTTGATTATTTTCGAAAATGAATTGCCTAAAAAATGCTTATAGGAAATAAAGATTATAAGAGTTGGGCTTTGTGAGTAAATGTGGAGGATCGTTTGGGTTTGTTCTCGAGATGGTTCAAGGGCATTGGGCCTTCGATTATGCTTAATATCTAATAAGAATAGGACTCAACATAATTCATTAGTTCCATAATCAATTGTTTGTTGGATCATCACTTTGGATTACAAGCCATTTGGCTAACAAATTTGACTAAAAAAAAACATAAAAGAAATAAAAAAAGAAATATTGTGACGGCGGTGGCCACATTAGAGAATGGAGATTCTCCAGAATCACATATTTTTGGCCTCACTCTTCATTTATATCTTACACAATTCCAGTTCGGTATTCTACTTCGTATTAATATTGCTTGTATTTTCATAATATTCTTTGTAATATTTATTTTTGAAATTGTAATAATATTTTGCATATTATTGAATTGTAATATTGTTATTAAAAACATATTTGAAATATATTGTATTTTTTAATAATTTAATTAAAATGTGTCCGTTCCAGCCGCGACGCAGCCGCGATGTTACAACAGAACTGGAACAATAGTGTCCGCGACAATGCACTGTTCCATTCTAGCGAACCATGTTCAGTATCTGATTTTTTTTAATAAATTTCTTCATAGGCATTGTTTGTTGAAGTTATTGCTCTGGAAGCATGTGCAAAGGAATATTTATTTATTAATCCATGTCGGCCACTAATTAACTTTTCTAATGAACAGGTTGTATTGTATTATTATTCTTTACTATTACACCATCTCCAATACCATAATCAATCTTAAAATTTTCTCTATTCAATTTGGCAAGATTGAAATTTTCTACTGCAGTGTCTTCTTTAATGCCACACTCAATACTCAAAATATATTCGTATGTATAATTTATTGTTGGGTTTTAAAATTAAAATAATTAATTTATTAAAAAATAATTATCCCGCGAAAAAAAAAACTTTTCATTCCCGTTTTAATACTAATAGGATTTATTTAGATTTATTTAAAGAGAGACAAAAATAAGTAGACAGGTTTTTTTTTTTTTTTTTTGCACATTCATTAGATAAATATTTTAATGAACAAATTTTAAATGGACATTTTTTCTTTTTCGTTAAACCATAAACATATATTGAATAAAAACTAGCAATTTCTATACTATACAACTTATTCTATTTTCGTCCCTAAGCAAGATGAAGTTACAATTTACATCACTTAACATGTCACTTTTATGTTGTTACCGCACATGACACATAGAAGATATCCCATTCATGAAAATGTAGAATTTTAAGAGGAATTTCATAAATATGCAAAAGACACCCCCCATTGCTCGTTTTGTTTGATGTTTGATATTGTGTTTCGAGGCTGCATTAACATTCCTCGATTTTCTTTTCATTTCCTATGTGTTTTCTAAGGTGAGATTTTGCTCCGCGAAAACTGTCAAAGAGGAGTATTTTACACATAACTTCAAGTAATGAAACAGAGGGATTTTTTCAAGTTCTTTGAAATATGAAATCAGGAGACTCAACACGGCTTTTTTCCAATGGAAAATATGACTTACTGTTGCATATATGTTCTTTATACTTCGGTTATCGTATGTATGTAACTATCTTTGCTTTACCTGTTTTTGGCAGAGACGGGTAAAACTTGTACATTCGACAAATATGTGCGACACACGTGCACTTTCTTAATTGCGCAATAGTCTTAATTTTAACCTCACAACATATAACTGATGAGGATGTAATAAAAATTCAATCAATAAAAATTAAACACACCAAATAACATTAACAAAATATTCAAACACGCTTTGATTTGTCCGTCTCAAAACTGAAAGTACATTCCTCCGATTCCTTGATGCAAACAATGTCGATGTAATTTCTCTCGTGATCAATCAGCCTACGGCTCTCGAGACAATACACCTGTAATGAAAAGGAGCATGTTTAATGATTTCGGATGTTAATTTTTTTTTTAATCCATAATAGCAAATTCATTCATCAGTAATCAAATAAATTAATTTGTAATATAATAAAGGGTAAGTTACGAAAACCTCCCTGAACTTAGGCTAAATAACGAAAAACACCTCACCTATCCGTAATAACCGAAATCCCCCTCTAACTGAGTTTTTTAGCAGAAAATTTGTACAATCTATTATACCTTCTATTAAATAGGTGAGAAATAAAAGAAAATATCTGCAATTGTGTAAAGTCTATTTCTTGGAATTAAAAAAAAAAATACGTGAAAACTCACACTGTAAAGTGTTGGTGTAAGACGGAAACAAACCTCAGGGGTTTTTGGTAATTACGAATAGGTGGGTTTTTTTTTCGTTATTTAGCCTAAGTTCAGGGAGTTTTCGTAATTTACCCTATAATAAAATCTATCTCTGTTGTAGCAAATTCAAACTGTTTCATCCAAACGCAACTTATATGATCCTATTATATGTGTTATCAACCATATATCTATATTGCCTATTTCTATTGTTTTGTAGGAGAATGTATGCATGCATATATACTGAGTATATCTTTGGTAATATTCACTCTATGATGAAATTATAATTAAAAAAAATATATATAGTAATTCAAATTTAATACTAAAAAATTTAAGGTTGTTTAATTCCTTTTACCTGAATGGGCATTGACTAAAATATTAGTATTTTCGATAGATATAAAAATTTAACGACTAACCTTTTGAAGAATCAATGATATGGTAGAGTCACTCACGGCTTGGTGTTCCCATTGTTACAGTGAAGAACGAACAACAAGACGTAACAAACGTTCACGACCAGCATATTTGTCGTCCCACTCCTCTTTTAACTTGATTGCACGATTCACAACCATAGGGTTGCATTCGACTATTTTAATGCTTAGAAGAGATTTACCAAATGTGAGAGGGATCTCTTTTAACTTGTAGCAATGTGCGATGCGAAGGTTCGCAATCACAGGGAGGCAATGATAATTTTGAAATGTCCATTGCTCCAGATCTGTGTCTTCAATATCAAGATGTGAAAGACTTTGGAATTCGTTGTCACGAACCTCCCATTTTGGGCCTCGAAAGGCATAGCATTCCAGAAAGAGATGTTTAAGATTTGGCAATGAAGAAATCTTTCTCATTTCTTCCCACGGATATCCTAAGCCGTTCAAAGTT